TTGGGTTCAGAATTGGGGAAAGGGCTTCCCCTACGTTCCCGCTTTCGCCGCTGTGGAGAAGAACGTCGGCGCTGATGGAGGATTTCTCTGTGCGCGATTTGCGATTGCTGGGTTCTTCTTTGCAGGTTTGGTTTTTATGCAGGTTCGAGAATGAGGCACGGCGTCCATGGACTTTGGATGAGAAGATGAAGATGGTTGTGCCGAGCTTGCGTCAATGGAGGAGAGGCGCGATGAAGATTGTGGTGGCTGGTGCGTGTTCGATGGTTTGCACGTGAGAAGAGTGGTGTCGCGGCGGCTGGCGTGGAGGAGGTGCTCGCGGTCTGGGGAAGGCGGTGCGACATGGTGGTTGCCTCTCGCGAGGAAGAAGAAAGGTTGCGCGATGAAGGAGAAAGTGCTCTCGTGGTGGTCATGGTGGTGCTGCTGACGGCGGAGCGGCGCGGCGACAGTTGACGGCTAGGGTTGGGAATTAAGGTTTCTCTGTTAGAGAAGATGATGATGTGGCAAGAGAGGTGATGTGGCGGCATGTGGTTGGCTAGGTCTGTGTGGGTAGGATTTGGACACGTGGCATGATCTGGTGGACTCTGGCTTAGGAGGGGTATGGGTAGGGAAATTTTAGAGGTGTATTTAGAATAGGGTTACTGTTTGGCTTAGTATTGGGCCTGTTTTAAGAGAAGATGGGTGTATGTAGGGAATTGGGAGGTGCAAGGGTAAAATTGCCTTTTGGCCCAATCGTACATTATTTTCCAAATAAAATCTGTGTTTTGGGCCTTGAATTGCCATTTGGACCAATAGAACTTATATTTCAGTAGCAAAGCATAAAAAAAAACAGAAATAAGACATCCAAGAATATTATTTGCGCTAAAACTCACTTTTTACGTCTCTTTAATTCCCAACCCAACATTCCAATCATCACAACTTCACTTAAAATCAATCATTTAAGCACAATTATTCTATCAAAAATTTGAATTTTGAAGCATAAATGTGGGCATAAATATGCACTCATCACACCCCCACACTTATCCTTTTGCACTCCTGGGCAAATGATTATTCCCAAGACTTTGTTTCGGAATCATTTTATTTCATATTTGCATTTGGATCAAAAGATGAGTAGCACTAGACATAGATCAATCATTTAGGCATTACTTTGTCATGGACATGCAAATGGAATCATTTATTCTCAACACATGAGTTAACCTTTTTGAATTCCCAAGAAAATCAAATATGAAAGACAACACTCAAGTCAACATGTATCTATTTCTCTCCAGTGTTTTTGGCTTGTGTTTACACTCAAAATACCCATGTAATAGACACCCTGATATATTTAGCAAGACTCTAACATTCACACACTTCAGTAAAATGCAATTATGATCATAGGGCTTTTTAAGGTTTTATTGAGGCCAAGGTAAAGGTAGGGAATTTTTCTGGAATTTCTGAGTTTTTGAAATTGATTATAGAAGAGTAATGACACTTGATTTCAAAAACAACTCTATTTCTTGCTCTTTTAAGGAGATTTTTTTTTTCTCTTTTGTTTTAAACTTCAACTTTCATCTTCATTTTTAACCCTTTTTTATTGTTTTGTGGGTGAGGTATCCACCCACACACTTATTCATTCACTTTAACTTCTAACAGAAATCCATTACTCCTTCTTCTTTCCTAGGTAAGGAACATATGATTCTTCTTTTCTCATTTGACAATGAACTGGAAAACAAGAAAAATAGGCTTAAGGTCAAAGGGGGTTCCAATGGATTAATGTTAGGACAAGTTTATTTGGCCAAGTAGATAAAACAAGAATGCCTCAATCCATATCAAATCATGCATATTCTCCTGTTGCACAACACAGAATCAAGCTAACTATTAGAGTATCAACAAAACATGGGCAATTCACTCAAGAAAATAGTAATGGCACATGGTGGTCCATCCTTAACATTAAGTTCACAACTTCATGGTTCAAATTTCTTTCACAAAAGATTTAATCAGGAAATTCTCAAGTCAACTCAATCAGCAAACCATAAAAGCAATCCACTCATATCAACATGACTCATTTTTTTTTTTTCTTGAATTCATGATCATTCTAGTTATTGATTCAACTCGTCATCCATGCACATTATCGCTCCCATTAATGTGGGATGGGGTTAATTCTTCATGTGTTGAACCCCTCTCCCCCCCCCCCACCCTTCCCCCCCCCTACCCTCCCCCCACCCCCCCAACCTCACCCCCCTATCACCACTCCCCCCCCCCAAATCTCTTTCAGAAATAATAGCAGTGAGAGTGACATCTCATATACAATAATAACAACTGCACCAAAATACCATCAATGCAAACTAGAATTGGCCATCATCAATTTATCATAATCACTGCCTCATTTAACATAGTCAAATTGTTTGATTGTTGCATTGCTTTTCAAAATTTCATGACAAATCCTTTAATATTAATATCAATTGACATTTTTTTCTCTTTTGGCCAATATTAAACTGCATCTTGTTCAAAAAATCTCTACAATTATATTTTTTAATCCACAATGTTGTAACTATATTACCTCGTATCATTTTACTTTTATATTACAACTATATGAAAAGATTTTATCACTTCTAACTTATTCAAATACCTATGAATAGTTTTTTAATGAAAAATACATCAAACAAACACTTTAGACATGAAATGCATTAAATAGACATTTCACCTTATAATCACCCTCTTATGTTCAACTAAATACTATATTTCAGGGTCAAACTTGGAGGTGAGTATAATATTAAGAGTGTTGAAATTATTTTGTGAGATACAATTGCCAATTATAATCAACAAGAGTATAACTGTCTTCAAGATACCAAGAACCATTGTCAAGATAAAACTTTAAAATTTTATTATTGTGATTTTATTTTTTCTTTTTAAAAAATATTATCTCATTTTTTTTTTACTGAATGTGAAACTTTCATGCATACTATTCGGAAGAGTCATTCTCAGAAGAATGATATGTCCATATAACTTGGTCTAATTTTTATATAGAAATTTGGCCCCAGTGTACTTGATGTAAGCACGTTTTTGACTTGAGAAAGAATTTAAAAGGGTGATTGATGGTGGTCCATGCAAGGAAATAAAAGTCATGAATGCTTTTCCACGAGTTATCGAACAAAATGAGAGAAAAAAAAAAGGTGACTTTGGTGTTGTTTGCATTTCCAACAAGGTGTTCTATTGAGAAAAGTGAGGAAACTTTGCTTTTGTAGTTACAGGTTGTGAGTTTCTTTGTACTGGGACATAGCAAAAAAACATGTTAATTGAACCAGAAAAGCAATCCCTCATTAATATTGTGCCTTATTTCTTAGTTAAAGTTGATGAATTATATATACCCTTTTTCTAATAACAATAATATCTAGTAACTTGGCACCTTATTTTAGACTATGATTATCAAGTAAAGTTCATTGAACTCTCTAAATTATATTATGGTTTGGCTAAAGATCATTTGGCCATCAAGGTTTATCAGTTTAATACAACACTGCTTTTGCTTTATAAGCTTATAGATCATGGCAATGAACTTTGCTTCATCTCTCATCATGAAAGTATGCAATAAAAAACATCAAATTATGGGTCAACCAATCATCTTCTTTGGTCAAAAGAAAAATGACAACCATAAATATGTTTGATAATAAAATCATAGCCATACATTCTAGCAACTTCTCTTCCTCCAACGTAATAAAAAAAAGAAAAAAAAAGTATGTGAGAATATTTTAAAATTTTCATAACATGTCTTTGTTAGCCTCTATGATATCTATTAATATAGATTGGATTTTCTAAGCAATTATAAGCATAGGTTTGTCAAATGAAAACAAGCATTCCTTTACTACAAACTTGGTATTAAGAATAAAATAGAATTATTTTTAAAAAAATATCAATTAAATGAAAGATATAGTTTGGAAATAAACTCATTAAATGAAGTAAAATTACTTGAGATTTGCTTATATTTAAAACTGATCCAAAACGTTTTTATTTTGTTTATATTTAAGACTGGAGGAAGTATATATAGTTGTTGGCAAAACATATACTTCTCCTTGATGGTGTGAAATATTTGGAGTAATTGTGGTTTTGAAATTAAAAAAAAAAAAAATCATACGGTTATATACAATATATTAATTTTTTTTCTTAGTCTTTTTATAATCATGAATACATGAAAAATAAATGTGACAATTCATGGAAAAAAAAAATAGAAAATGTCCCTTCGTTATTATTCAGTAAAAAAAACTGAATAAATTCTTACCTACAGATACTTGTTGAATATTGATTGTTGATTCATTTGGATATTCATATTATTGTTTTTAAGTTTGAAGAAACTATTCTTAATTTTAATTAAAGAAAATCTACATCAATCACAGGTTAGAAAGCTATCATGGACTAGTTTGAACTTTCTCCATTTTTTCTTTGATTTGGACTCTCACAGTGTTAAACATTTTTCATGATAAGAGAAAGATTAAACAAGTTTTCTCCCTAAACTTTTAAGAACAAAAAAGAATAATCTTTTTTGTAAGTTCAAATTAGTTTATACATACTTCTCTTTTCTTCCTCTAAACATACTTTCAGAAAGAAAGAAAAAAAACCAAACAAATCCAATTGCTCCATCAATCAAATACCAATAATCTGATATGTTAGAATGTAGATAATTGCCATATGTTCATTTACAATTTATAGCTACACTTTTTTCTCTATATTTGCTGGTTACTTTGAACTTGTGATGTTACGTATTTTAATTTGTGTAACTGATCTTGTATCTGTATCAGATACTTTAATAATAAATATCTAATTTATAAAAACAATAATATTTTTACGATTTTAATAATTTATAAATTTTATTTTAATAAAATATAATTTATTTAATTTTAATTTGAATGTACAATAATAATTATATATTTATCATATTTTTAATAAATTTGTACATTTTAGTATGCATATATTGCATATCATATTTTAATATTTTAAAATAAGCACATAAACGTATATCAGATCCATATATCATAATTATGAACTCAAGATAACTTTACTGTGCACTTGACCATCCTCCATCCTTATCCAAGAATGAAGAGAAAATGGTGTTTGGTTGATCTGTAAAATTCGTGCTCCTCTAGGCCAATCTCCATAGCCACCGTAACCAGTGTGCCTAGCATAGCATAACCATAGATTATTGTATGGGCAGCACCAGTCCAATCCATGGTTGTGTCCAACAAAAATTGCCTGAGGTTGTCAAAACAAAAAGTTGCAAACAAAAATTATCATGATGATGATGATGAAAAATGAACATCTCAAAACCCATATACTTGAGACAATTCCTCAATAAACCCCAAAAGACTTATTTGACAACCAAAAATTATCATTGCAATCATAGAAATTGTAAGTCTGGCTAACTATTGATCAGATGGTCCATACACTCAGGAATACAAGAGTGATCATGAGGACCATTCAAACATCTACCATTGTAATTAGAGTTAAAGTTTATTTTTTAACATGATATAAAAGTTATGAGTTAGAACTTATCCTAACAAAATTTATATTTGTTGAATATATCATTTCATCTACTCTTAGACTATTATAAGATCATCTATTAATGTCTAGTTTCATACATGAAATGTATATACATGGCGTGAGAGGGTATATTGAAAGTCCTGACTAAAAATAAAATCAATTTAGAATATATACATAGATACAAACCTCACCTTACAGTTTCTTAGAATTGAGATATACTTAAAATCTAATTATTAACGACTCAATCTTATAAAAGCTGTCAACTTTAAGAATGATTTTACATTTGGACACTTCGGACAGAGTGAACTGATAACCTCAATCTCAACATAAATCAACAAATTAATCATTAAACAAACACATATGCTGGTTCAAACCTAACAACTAGCATCTTTGAGGATTTGATTTTTGTTGTATACAGATAGCTCTGGAGAATTTGACAAGTATAGCATACAGACATTACCTTGACAGAAGTTCTGTTGAGAAGAAGATCCATGATACCCGTTTCAACTTCTTGAGCAGCGACACTTTCCTTGTTGATCGATCCTACACAAGGTTTTCGTATCTCAAACTTGGGAGCCACCACCTTATAAGCCGTACTTGGAATATGCCAGAAAACAATCTCCGGAACTCTGTCACGCAATATGTGTTATTTGAATTAATTGAACAACGCTTAAACAAGTTATTTAAATCAAAATAAGTTGTGGTTTCGTGCACTTTGATTCTACCTTTTGTCAGGGTTAATTTCTTCAGCTTTTCGGCGGAACCATTCCACCTGGTCATTAGATATGAGTTCTGGATAGGAACCACCACCAGAATCAAGAAAGTAAAGGAAAGCCACTGGTGATGGTGGATAATCAGGTGATGAAACTTGAAGGACATAGTTGGATACACTTGGCCAAAGATTTCTTGGGCCATAGCTAGAAAATGATCCATTGTGCTTCATCTCATTTGACATCAGCTCCAATCGTCCTGTTCCTTTGAAGCTACATTCATCGTCTCCTGAAATTTATCCAATACGCCCTTCACTGAAAATATCTCAAAAACTTAATCTTATGAGGAGCATGAGAGATACAATGAAACAAAATCAGGTATCTTCTATTCTCCATTATCTATTACTTAATACTTGGTACCTGAATATGAAGTTGTGGTTAGAGGGCAGTGAATTGGAGGAATGCCAGGCGGAGAGAACCACTCCAATGGCCACTGAAATGCAGCATCATCATGGTTTCCAAATACACTAACCCATGGTATGCCCCTGTTTCTTGTTGGGGAGATTGCCTGATACCAATACAAGCTTGCATTCGCAATCATTATATTGTTTGCCGTGATGACATCACCAAGATATATCACCAAATCTGTCATCCAGAGTAAACTTCATTAGAACTTGGTTTTAATAAAATTTGAAGTTCATGGCACTACAAAATGATGGATATTTAGAAATTGAGACATAAGTCCTTAAATCCAAAATCTCAAGGAAATGAATTATGTTCCTTATCAAGATGGTTCTGATACCATTTTTGAGTTCTTAAGGAAGAATTTATTAGACAAAAACAACACAAATTAAAGATGAGCCTAATCATATAAGATATAAGGTATAAGATATTGATGTCTCCTTCTATTTAAAATCTTAATTTCTTTATTATATGTTATTCAACTTTTGAAAAAGTTCTCTTGCATTCTAATTTCCTCACTATTATGTAACTATCTCTAAGCATATGTACTGATCTAAGCATCTGTACTGATGCTTGATCATTTATTCCAAAGCAACAGATATTTTTATATTATCTTGTTGAATTGTTCTGCTATTCAAATTTTAAATATTTTTAACTTGTTTCTTAAAGTTTAAATTTTTTTTAAGGAAATTATCATGGTTTCAAATCATTTTAAATAAGTCTTTATTCGTGACTACAAACTATCATTGTTAATTATTTTTCAATTACAATAAATCCTTTGAAATCTTAAATAAATTCCTATAACAAAACTAAATCCAATTCTTGTTCATCAACATTGTCAGTATAACTAGTTCAGTTTAGATAATAAAGTCAATAAATGTGAAATATACCTTACTTCGAATTTCTATTTATAAACTTTTTTTAATTAAAATAAGTCTAATTACAATTCATGGCTAATCATAATTAAACCTTTAATCAGAATAGTTTTTCGAGTTCATTAATATCCCACATGACTTCAATCTACATGAAGGTGTTCCAAACCCTCACTACTTTTGAAGTGGATCTCCTCTTTGTTCACATGTATGTGCTCATTGTTTATGCATTGATTCCATGCATGTCTTTGCATTGGTGCATTGATTCCTAAAAGTTAAATGGACTTAATTTAGAGATTCCTTGAATAGATAATGGCTACGAATTTGTGGTGGTGGAATCCAAGATAGACAGTATGTCACACAAAGCATGCATTATAACAATGGATGTCAATGGTGTATACAAGCTTGTTTTAATAAAGCTTATTTGTCAACCGTTATTTTTTATTATAACGTAAATTGGGATTCAACCCTAAAGATATCACTACTTCACTTATTATTTTTTACGAGTGTTAAAAAGAGAGTCCATGTTATGACTAGATCATCGATTTTCTAAAGATATCACTACTTCAACGTGGAAAGTCACACATCAACTAAAGATAAAGTCAATTCATAGTTTATAAGGATGAAATCCTCATCGTATAAGTTAGTTTTATGACATGACATCCGAGCCATGGTTAGAATTTATCCTAGAATATTTGTAAACTTAAAGTCCACTTCTAACACAATTTATTTTGTTATTTACAACTAATAACATTTATCAGATCATATCTACAACTCACACCAGGTTTATCAAGTCTAATTTCATCCGATTAAAAGAAATCAAGATTTTTGGACAACTTATACCGGACCAATTCATATGAGACCCTCGCATCATAAAGGTCAACCACTAGTCTTCATAATGAAATGAATAAACCAATTTAAAATAAATAAAAAAATATGATAAAATTTTCAAGTGAAAGACGACTTTTTCTTGTGATTATCATTCCTAATCACGGACTTATCAAGAAGTTATAAAATTTTCAAAATATGACACTTTTAACAAATTACACCATTTCCATAAAAAATAAAAATAAAACATATTTGTATTTAAAAGAAACAATAGCCAAAAGAGTGTGTATACACACGGATAAAGCTAGCGATGAAAACTATCCAACCTTACAATAATATTCATCGTTAAAATTGCAACTTCATGCCATGGTTCCTTTGGTGACGTAAAGATTTATTACCGAACGCAGTTGTAAAAAATATTTTAATGAATTATACGTTTTTTTTTTGCAATATTCTCTATAAGAATAGATCCCCATTTCAATATTTCTCTTACCAAATCAATATTCCCGTGAAGGAAACAATTCTGAATAATAATTAATTTAGTCAACAATCTAATTTCACGGTGCTTATTCCATCTTGGATCCAAGATATTAATCCATCACCCTTAGTTTAATATAACAAAAGGGTTATAGAATATAATTCTATTTATGAAAATTTACTGAATACTAAATAAACTTGAATTTGTAAATATTTTTCGAACTTGTTCTGATATTAAACATGATTACTGTTAAATATTAAGATCGTTCAATATGATAGTAAGTATAACATTTCTTATTAAACCTCTATATTTCTAATTCCCATTTTACATTCTTTACTATTTTATATTATAGAAGACTCTTCATTAATTTAATATTTTATTTCAAAAATCGATGTTATATGAACATTTTTGTTGTAAAAAGTATGTCATTAAATATATTTTTATAATATAATATATATATATATATATTATAAAAATTACTTTATACAAAATTATTAAGTTTTTATTTTGAAAATTAATATTAATAAATGTTACGTATTCCTTGACAAAGATGAAATATGAAGTGCAAACAGTGAAACTCGCATCCACCGGTTGTCATTTCTAAAACAGTGAGTAATCAGGACAGAGTGTGTGAGGTGAAGAGTGAATGCAGTAACGGGTAACGTGACGTCACCTGGATTTTCATGGTGGAGCACCGAGTTCATGACGTTGATGGAGTTCAGGTCTTGGCGTGGGCCCCACTCCGTCCACGCGTCCTCCCCAAAATGAAGGTCCGCGAAGAGCCCAATCTTGAGGGCTGAACCCTCCGGCATCCGAACCTGTCTCTCCGGCACACCGTACACCGGTCGGAATCGTAAGGCGGATGATGATCGGACGGTGGAGATCAGAGAGAGAAAAAGTAAGGGCAACAGTATCTTCCACTTACCTCCTCCGTGACTTTCCATTGCTGTGTTAGAGAGAAAACCACAAAGAGCGTCTAAATCTCTTCAGATGATAGAAATACGGTTCGTTGCACTTTTCTGAGTGCATTATAATGCACGTGGACAGATTACTTGATGGCATTGTACGTAATGACGGAAACACCCTTGGCAATTGTTTGTCACCACTGTCTCGCTTTCTTGCACCCAGCCACGTGTCTGGTGATATTGAAATAAAAATAAAATAAAACATCTTTTATGAGTCAGTAAACTTTAAAAGTTACCTAATTCATAGCACAATATTCGGAAAATAAAAATAAAAGAGACAGTAGAAAAAAGAAATATACCGACATTTTTTTATTAATGAAAGATACGAAGTTTTGTTATTTTGTAGAAGTCGTACTGTGTTTCTATGGTTACCGATAAGTTGGTAACAAGAACAAAACCTTAGGTTGGCATATTCCATGTTTACGAACCTTATCGTAGCATATTCCATGTTGTCTTCAAGAACGGTGCAATTAGAAGGAAGAATGACATAAATATATAAGTATGACTTCACATAACTTGTACAGTATTAAAAAATTTAAAATTTCATGACGAAAAATATAAACTATTAAGAATATAAAACATTAGTTTCATTTAAGTATTTTATTAAAAAAGTTCATTTGTAGATTACTTATAAATACTCTTATCTTTACTATAAACACATACTAAATAAAAATGTAAACACAAAATTGTATTTATGATCATCTATGTGGTGATTGCAGTGCCAATCGTGTGAGTCATAAATAAGATATTTTGATGTAGTTTTAATATTTATCTCTTATTGACAATATCTTTAATGTATTTAAAAAAATTAAAGAAATTTGAAGGGTGTTGGCTCCCTCTCCACCTCCACAGGGCCTTCGTCCCCCTCCACCCCCCCTTGCCTATTTTGCCCCTTCCTCTATCTCTTCTTTACTAATTTGTGCCCCTCAGTAAAATTTTATTTTTTAAAATTATTGTTTTTTAATTTTACTCATTTATAACATATTTCACTGATAACCTACGTAGTTCCTTGTATGAGTAAAATATTTTTCTGCAAAGCTTGGTGATCGTGAAAAGAATTATCAACAATCTCCTCTTGTTCTCGGTACAGTACGTGGTGCAGTGCGTTTTGTGGTGTGGTGCTTGTCGTGTTCCTCTCCAGGTACGTAGTCATAATCCTTCCAATAATCCTAAACCCTAAACCTTCCCCACCATAATGCTTCCAATAATCCTTTTAATATGCAAGCCTATAATCCGAAGC